ACACAAAAGGCATTTAAACATTTTAGAAACTAAAACTATAAAGCGTGGTTTCCTGTCTCACACCAGGGGTTATCTGGCCTCCAGTGAGTCAGAGTTGGGAGAGAGAAGAGCAGCGTGGAGGGAAGAGGCCAGGCTGAGTCCCCGTCTTTCCCTCATCTGGACCTTCCTTCCTCCTGGAGGGTCACCTCACACTCAAACCCAGATTCCAGGGGTCAGCACGTGCAGTCATGGAGTGTGGCTGCTTCTGCAACCCAGTCACTGGGACACAGAATATTTTGCATAGTTAAGTTTGGCTCAACACATCACCCCTCAAATATGTCAATTCTTTCTCTACAGCTGAGCCAAAGAGGAAAGACACATGAGCAGAGGCAGATTAACAAGAACAGGGTTTATATATATATATATACACACACACATATATATGTACATAATCTGGGGAAGGTAAGAGCTCATTGAGGCAAATGGGTAGGGGGAGAGAAAGCTCCTGTGAGCAGCGGTGGGCAACCTGTCAGCACCCACACTGGAGAAAACTGGCCCAGAGCCTGGGTCGGCCACGTCAACGGTCAAGCCGAGGATGACACAGTTGATGCTACATGCAGCTCTCTTCTGTTCTCCACGCTGGAGCTTCTCAAGTCTGGGGTAGTTCTGAACTGGGCTCCTAGCCCCTCATCCTGCAACACACATACTCCACACATACCCACACAACACACACCCCCTACACATACACATGCATAACCTCTCCACACACACCCCACACTACATGTACACACACACACCACGCATACACCCGTGAGGTGTGGTCCTCTGGCTGCTGAGGGAAGAGAGCAGGTTCAGTTTCGCTGAAAGGGGCTGAGCCTCTTTCCAATGGAGCAAAGTCCCTTCCTGGTCACACACAGTTTGCAGAGGAAGATGTGCTCTTTGTTTGTTGAGCTCCGTGACAGAAGAAAGGAATTGGTCGGTGGCTCCTATGAGGCCCTGGCAGGTTGATGATGGTGCGCCAGAGGCGAGGCTACCACTTGCTGTGCCCTGAGTTGCTCTGACCAGGAGCCTCCAAACACAGTGCTGGCTCCTCCAAAGTCAGGGGGGACCCTGATGGGGCGTTGGCGGGGAAGCAGGTGTTTTAACTGAGAGTAAAGGTTTCTCTCTAAAAACGTTTGGTGCTGTCCCCCAACACCCCACCTGCGCTTTGCTCATGTGGTGCTGTGGCTTTTCTGTATGGACAAGGGACCGTAAGAGTATCCAGTTACAGCATGAACAGTGGTGTCCCCCATCACCCTACCTGTGCTCTCGGTACATGGGCTCCAAGTGTTCTGATGGCAGGTGGTGACACAGGAGCCTTCTATCGCAAGTGAGATGTTATTCTCTCTGACTGCAACACCTGTGGTTTGCCCTGTGGGCCTCAACTGTACTGATGGAAGGTGGGAATACCAGGTCTTCCAGTCATGGGAATGATGTTGTCCCCACCCGTAATACCAGCTGAATTCTGGACAGGTGGCCCCAGGTGCTTGGATTTAAGCTGTTGACAGTGGTGTCAAATGCAGAGCCTGGCAATGTCAAACTGCAAAACCTGATGTCCTTATGCTGCCTCTGGGTGGCCAGGCTGCAGGACAGGTTAGACCTACAGCTTGTGCCAGGTCTACCAGTTTTCCCAGCAGGAAAGGGTTGTTAGTCTGTTGCCCATCACAGTCCTCAAATGTGGGCTGAGCGGTGATTCCTGGGTCAAAGAGAAGGTGAGAAGTTGCAGTCTGTCTGCTGACTGACTGAGCGGGTAAACGGGTGGAGACGTGGGCCGAGGCAGTGCTGCCCCTGAGTGGTAAGTTCTCAGAACCAGGAATTGCCACGTAAAATGGGCAGTGCTTCTCCCTGGAGATAGGGGGAGACTGGAAGGTGACAGCCTGGGAAGGAGAAGTGGGATCCAGAGCATCGGTGTCAGGGGCAGCCTTGAGGTTTGCAGAGGTGCTGCCTTCTGGAGAGTGGGGGCCTGCAGGAGCCACGAGGGGTGGGTGGTGAAAACAGGAATGCGGGGGAGAGGGGCTTTCTGCTGCTGCCCATCAGGGGTCCCACATGTGGGCTGAGGGGCAGTTTGGGGGCCAAAGGGATAGTTAAAAATTGGGGTGGGGAAGGGGACCATCAATGAAGGTGGGCTGATGGAGACCGGTCCCTTTGCAGGTGCCTCTGCTCCACACGGCAATGAACTTGGGAAAATGGGAGAGATCTCACACTGGAGTCCGGAGACCTGAAAATGCCAGCCTGGGAATGGGGAGTGGTGTTCAAGTCAGTGACACCAGGATCTAAAGTAGGCTGAGAGGTCAGACCTGCAGATGCCATGGCTGTGATGGTGGAAGCGACTGCCACAGGAGGTATGGGCTGGCCGGTGAACACAGGGCTCTTGGTAGAAGGGACTGGAAGATGAGTGGGTATGAAAAAAGGAGGGAAAGCTACACACATAGGTGTCAGGGATTCTTTTTGGCAGGAAGGTGGCTGGAAGGAGAAGGATGAGGTGCTAGAAGATGTGGGGAGGCTAGAAATAGAAGCCGCTGTAGCTCTGATGAATGAAAAGGACCTCCATTCTCATGAAGTGGAATTCCCTAGGACTGGATCTAAAGAGAGGAAGAGAATCAGCAGGAACAGGAGGAGAGTTTGGGACTGTGTATCTTGTTTCCTGATCAGTATTTGTGGTGGAGTTAGAGAAGGTAGACGGACAGACAGGCTTGGGGGTCTGGCAGATAGGTCAGCCAAGTCAGTGGGAGGAGGAGAGACCTGTAAAGTGTGGGTGACCAGGGGCAGGGAGGCTGCAGTCTCCAAGGCAGGAGGGGAGAAATGAGGGGTAGGCTGAGTGGCCCTGTGGTCTGCCATGACCCCGTTTGATCCTCCAAGATCTTGTTCCGCTGACACTCAGTGTTCCTCTCCAAGCTGCCCGGGTTTTTGGCAACAGCTGTGCAGGGAAGCTGAGGAGGTGGGGGCAGCTCACCTTGGCCCCACAGCAGCAGCAGTGTCAGGGGCAGTGTCAGGGGCAGCACAAGTGGCATGGTGATTCTCTGTTTGCAGGGCCTACTGCTGGGAGATCCCGGTGGACAAGAGCTGCATGATGGGATGTCTGCAGGCTTTCGTCCTGCATCTCCTTCCCGGACGTCAGTGAGCCTGGAGAGCTGGGCCCACGGTCTGCACCCAGCACTTCCTTTGGTGACCTCTCGGGCAGCAGGGAGCAGCACGGGGTGGGGGCAGAGAGCACCACTGCATCTGGATCAGACTTCCACAGAGGCAGGGCATCTCCAGCAGGGCTGTGTGAGGTGGCAACGATGTGGCTTTCTCGGGAGATGATTATCAGAGACATCTGGGCTTTCTCACTCAAACTGACTTCTGGGTGCTTGGGATAGAGGTCCAGAGGCCCAGGACTGCACTCAAGGGAAGTGAGGATTCCATTGGTCTCCAGAGGACTAGATGTCAATGGTACATCCCCACTGCTGTGGGGACTCTGTGCCCATCGCCCTGTCCTTTGGTCTCTACTTGATTCTCCTCCTTTGCCATCCTTTTTCTGGTACCTTCACCTCAGTCTCCTTTGGGCAAGGAAGGTTGAGGTGACTGGATGGTACCGGCTTCATAGCCTTGACTACCTGCTCAGGTGGAAGGGAGGAGAGTAAATTTGCACCCTGGAGGAGGGATCTGTATGGTTCTTGTGTGTCTGAACATCATGGAATGACAGCGGACAGCACGGGCTTCTTTGGGGAGTCCCTCCAGTTCACCAAGGGGAGGATCCCCAGAGAGGAGCACATGGCATCTGGGATTGGATACTGCCTCACGGGTGTGATGTAAAAGCCAGCTGGTAAAGGCACAGGATCCCAGTGGAACAGCCTGTGACCAGGGCGGAGGGCAGGCACAGGAGTAGGGCGGTGTGCCTGGCCAGGTGGGGCAGCATCGTGGGCAGGGGAAACCAGAAGGCGAGGGCCAGGTTGGGGGACAGCAGTGGGAAGGGGACAAAATTTAGAAAGGAAATTGCCCATATAGAGCCTATTGTGCGCCAAACAATCCCCAGAATGGAGGCTGAAACTGGAGAGCGTCTCCATAGCTTCCAGCTCTTCTGGAGGTCAAACAGGTACTGCCCTGTTCAGCCTGGAGCTTGTGACATCTTTTTGGAACATGTCACAGAGAAAGGGCACCAGGGGCACATGCAAGCCCAGTGCATGAAGAGACGGCATCAAAGGGCAAAGCAGAGGCCCCAAAGGCCAGCCCAGTGGAACTTTCTAGCTTCTGTGACTTGCTGCTGTGGTTGCAGCTATTTGGCATCAGATGGGGCCACCATGCCGGAATAGTTCAGGACTGGGAAGCCCCATCCCCAGAGCTCACCCAACCTGGGCACTGGCTCTGCAGGCCCCTCTGAGCCTGGATGTGTGTCCCCAGCCCTTTCCCCTGGGGTCCCGAGATCAGAGCCTGCTCAAAGCCAAGCAAGGAGCCACCCAGATCCTGCCAGCACGTGGCCTGCCTCCCCCGGGGACCCCTCGCCCCAGCTTCTCTGCAAGGCCTGGAGCCAGGCATACCTTCTCCAGTATCACTAGCCAGGCAGCGAATGTTCCTGAGGAGGGACGGGAGCTTGACCTGACTAGATGCTGCACCCATGACGTCCTTTCCTGGCAGGCAGGTTCTTCCTTCACTTCTTTTGAGAAATTTGGTAAAACAAACTTTAAACCTTAGAACAGCCTAGATTTTCTCTCTGGTCTAGTTTGAAGGATTCAAATATACAACAATTCATTGGGAAGCTGTAACTATTCAGATCCACCAAGGACCTAACCCTGGTTGCCTAGTGGTTAAGGTTTGCAGCTCTCACCACCCTGGCCAGGATTTGATTCCGGGTCAGGGAACCTCACTGCCCATCTGTCCCTTGTCGTACGGTAGCTTCGCACTAAGCACATAAGTGCTCAGAAACAGTCTATTAACATGCAAGCCCTCATAAAATTATCCAATTTTCATTTAATCTTATTTCGAATTTTAAAATTGTTTTTTATGATCTAGAACCTTCCAACCTATTGCCCAGCCTCTTGTTGTATTTCCAATATACAGGGATTCTCTTAATATTTCCAAGTTATTTACAAACAAAAAACCAAAAAAATGACTTTGTTTTCCAATCACATATTTATCTATTTAGACAGTTGTTACCATAGCATTCAAAAGAAGTCTGAGAATAACATCTAAGAACAAAGATGGAAAGATGTCCAATTGTACCCATACACAGTAGGAGCCTTCCTTTCAGGCCCACATAGAGTAATAGCAACACAATTTTTCTTAGTATTCAAGGTCATTTCGACCTCATTTAATCTTTGTGTATCATAAACACAGATTTTTCTTGAAAAGTGATTTCCAGGCTACACAAAGAAAATCAAACGTCTATCAGAGCTTTAGAATGATCAAGGAAGATGAATAACACAGTATAAACAAAATTACTTCTTTCCATAGGCTACACTCAGTAATTACACAGCAAAAGACGAAAAATCCAGAAGGCAGCCATTGATATAATGACTATCTTACATGTATTTTTATTTATTTCTAAGAATTGAAAGGGAACTATCAGGACTTCAAATAGATTTTGAAGAGATGACTTTAAATGGTAAAAAACTTGGGGAGCATATCATATGTGTGTGTGGTACACATTGTCTCTTAGGAATTTTTTTTAAGATAAGGTTGGCAAACCACAGTCTGTTGACCAAATCTGGCCCATCACTATTTTTGTACTGCCCTGAGCTAAGAATGGTTTTTACATTTTTAAGCGATTGGAGAAAAAAATCAAAAGAAGAATAATATTTTATAATATGTGAATATTACCTTAAATCCAAATTTGGGTGTCCATAAATAGTTTTATTGGCGCACAGCCCACCCGTTTGTTATGGTTTGGCTGCGTTCATGCCACAACGGCAGAGTTGAGTAGTTGTGCAAAGCCTGAAGTATTTACTATCTGGCCTTTTCCAGAGAAAGTTTGCCAACCTTTGTTTTACGAGCTTTCCCCTAAAGAAACAGTGAGGCCTTCAATAAACTGAACACTTCTTTACAGAGATTTCCTGTGTCAGTGATAGATTCTGTTTTTTTAAATAAAAGAAAGAAAATGCACAAACTCGGTAAAGATAAGACAGTTGCCATATCATAAAATAAAATTATAGACATGACTTTGTTAGATTTAGGATGCTTCTTTTTCCACTTTAGGTAGTGAGCATAGTTATTAAGAAGATGTGCTTTAAGGTCATTCTTTTTCCTTGAATCTTGATTAGTTTTCTGTGATCCTGAGCTAGGTACTTAACCTCTCATAAGCCTCGGGTTTCTGATAAAAATAGGGTAATAATTGTGCCAACCTCATGAAGTTATGGTGGTAGTAAGAGTGATTTTTTAAAATGAATTATTTAGCTCAGTACCTGGAACATAGTAGGTGTGCAATAAATTTTTTTATGATCATCCTCATCATGTGAAAATGTCACTTTCTGCTGGTCCACTCCATTGCTGCCTATCACTTCTGCTTTGACAAGGAAATCGGCAAAACCCTCCTTAGGTAATTTCACACAGCAAGAGCCCCTCTCTCTGTAGTATCTGCAGAAAAACTGTCCCAGGTGCACAAATCCAAGAGTGTATTTGACAGAGTGTGGAAAAAGGGAAGGCCTGGATGTCTAGAAACAAGGATCACACAGATAAAGAGTGCTGGTCGGCAGCTGGATTGAGCTGTGAGCAGGACCTTGGGATTTTCCATGTTAGACTCCATTCCAACTCTTTCTATGGAGAGCCCACAGTTCTGTGATGGGCTGTTGATGAAAGCTCTTTGATTTAGTAGCTAAAGTCTTTTTTTAGAATGGATGAAGTTTTCGTCATTTTATCCCATTTTATGTTAGGTTAACACTGTCGTTTTTCTTTTCTTTCTTGGTGTCTTTGATGATGTTTCCAACCAGAAATGCTCTTAGAAAATCATGAGGGTGTAATGCTGCAATTCTTGGAAACAGTGATTTTTTTTGTTCCTACTGGGCTTGCTGCTGCCTACCTCCTGCCTGAGCTTGTTCTTTCCCTAGAATCATGATGACTCTGGATTACTGCAGGAGAGCCAAAGCCCAGCGAACACATGGCTCCTTTTCTTTCCTCATCTCTAAGTGGGTCGTGACCAGCCTCAGCAGGGGTGGTCTCTTCTGCTCACTAGGGGCGGTCTGGAGTCAATTGATAAACAGCATGAGGAGGAGAACCTTCTTTGGTTGCTCCTTATAGAACCAATCTCTGCCTAAAGAGAGCCAAAAGGGGAGAAAAATCCCCTCGGACAAACAACTCCTTCATCTCCTCAACCCCTCAAAATCATTTACAGAAATATCAGAATTCCAGAAGGTAGCAAAAATCTCCACAATGCAGCTGAGAAACAGAATTTCTCTAGGTCCATTTCCTTTGTTTTTTTGATCATGTAAAAGTTTGTACAAATCTCACTTTTTTCACTTCCTGTGTTTTCTGTCTTGACATATTGTTTTGAGGAAAATCCCTCTGAATTTTATCCTTGTTCCTCAATAACAGTTGAACAATTATGGTTAATTGAGTTTAGCCACCCAAAAGAAGAACAAAATATTTTAGCATTCTTATATACTCTAGTTGGACTCATGGTTAAGAAGACGAATACAAACACCCAGACGTCACCCTGGTGTGTGGGGATAAAACCCAAAACTGTAATGCTCACACATGTGCCTGTGCGTGGAATGAGGCTGGGGAGGAGGAGGGTGGCCTCTGTTTACTGGTAGGAGTAGCTCTCATCATCGTATTCCAGCTCATCGTCATCATCATCATTCAGCAGCCCATACTTAAACTTCCGGTAGACAGTGCCATCTTGGCCCATGTAGACAATGTCATCATCGTCATCCTCATCATAGTCCCGGTCCCTGTACTCAATCACTTGATCCTCTTCGAAGCTGGTGCTCTCGCGAGGGCTGCTCTTATAGGAGGAGTAAGACTTGCTAGGGTCAGCCAGTTTTTCATAGCGGACCTTTTCTGCTTGCTGGACTCGGCCCCGTGATTTCCTCCACACCATCACAGCTGCCCCGAGCAGAAGCACCAGCATAATGGAGGAGGTGATGAACAGGGCTGTCTTGGAACGTTCAGCTGCAGGCCCTATCTCACCTGCTCGAAGGATACACTCGTCTGTTGGAAGATGACCCAAAGGAAGAAGGCAGAGGAGAAGGGTGGGGAGAAGAAATGGAATGCAGACAATTAGTTTCTGAGATAAAGAACTTTATCTTTTAAACCTAAAATGGTGGAATCACTGTCTCTGATTTCCTTAGAGAGCACACCACTCTACAGAAGTGCACCCCGTGAGAGTCCCAGTCTGTGTCAGATGATACCAACAAACCCTTCTAGGAGGAAGGCCAGTTTGAGATCCAACGCGAACCCCCTCATCCCCATGCCTCATGGGTCAGTCACCAAGTGTCCAACCTTACCAATAGATTCTTCTATTTCCTGCCTCAGAAAGATACTCCATCTAGGGCCATGTTTCAGTTGTTACTAAATGCTCTACTTTCTGTTTCAATTCTGATTTTTTTTAAGATTGAGTCCTCTCCCCAGCTACCTTTAAACCTGGTCTGACATGATTATCCCACTGTTCATGTGCAGGAGCAGATTATTTATAAGACCATTGACTCATTGCTGTAGAAATAACTGAAGTCAATCTGTTTCTTGACAGTTGAGGAAACCGAGGACCACAGAGAGGAAGTGAATTGTCACATTGTCAAAGGTAAGAGCTTGTTTGTGGAGCAATCAGAATGTGAACCCAGGAATCCTTACTCCACACTGCAGTCTGGAGACATTAAGGCAAAACACTGTGACAGCTGTTTTTTGACTTCTTGGCATTCTGTGGCTCTAATCTGGTAGGAGGAGAAGCACCACCTTTAAATTCTGACAACCAAGTTGAGTGACAAGGGATTTCTTCTATCAAACTTAAGATTTCTGAGGTTGAGGGCTCTGTCCCCTGTCATTCATCAGCCTCTTGGGTTTTTTTTTAAGATTTTATTTTTTTTTCCTTTTTCTCCCCAAGGCCCCCCGGTACATAGTTGTATATTCTTAGTTGTGGGTCCTTCTAGTTGTGGCATGTGGGACGCCGCCTCAGCATGGCTCAGTGAGCAGTGCCATGTCCGCGCCCAAGATTTGAACCAACGAAACACTGGGCCATCTGCAGCGGAGTGCGCGAACTTAACCACTCGGCCATGGGGCTGGGCCGGCCCCCATCAGCCTCTGTTTTGATGCCTTAGTTGAGAACATGGAGTAACCAAAACAGTATCACAGAAGAAAGGATTAAACCATAACTTCAGTGATGAGCTCATTTTTCTTACTTCTCCCTCATTTATTCAGTTGGTATGATTTGGGTAAGTTACTTAATTTTTTTTTTCTTTTCTTTAACTTACCAAACGGGAATGTGAAAGAGAGTATAAAAGAACTAGAGAAAAAAACTAGCAGCTTATGTTGGATGTACATGTTGAAATACATATTAAGTTTTCCGTAAATATTTTTAGAACCACCTGAGTCTGGTCCCCAGGATTCTTTTATGAGAGATTCTGGGTACATTATACATACTAGCGTAATGGATAGAATATTGCTGCCAGTTATTTTAGGGCCAATTATTTTTGCTTACTAGATATTGGATGAAATCAAGATGTGATGATGTACACCTAAAGTTTATATAGTATTGTAAACCAATGTTACCACAATAAAAAATAAATTAAAAAAAAGATATTGGCCAATTACATCTCATTCATCACCGATATGTAGCTCTGTCTCTTTTTGCTGTGATAAACAAGTTTTCTGTTTTATCATAACTTTCATTCTTATGGGATTTTGCCCATCAAGCAGAATTTCCTCCTCTAAAATAACAGCATTATCATTATTGCTTTTATCATTAATAATATCAGCACAGAATTTTTCCCTGGAGGAAATATTAAAGCACCAGAGGGATGGATAAGCCATCTGTATGTGGTACTTGGAGATGAATACTGCCCAAGGCAGGAGAGTCAAGAAAAGAACTTTGGAGGTTGTTCCAATTACTAGGGTGCCATATGCAATCATGCCTTACTATTCCCAGTCTTAGGTCTGCAGAGTCAGAGTTAGCCTCTGCGATCTGGCTTCTTTGAAGAGACAAGTGTCTCACGAGAGAATGAGGAGGTAATCAAGAGTATTTAGACTTTGGCAGAGTTGTCCAGGTGGATCTTCATGAGCCACAGAAGGCCAAGAAAAGCTGACTAAATAGTTCTTAGTGGTAACAGGCTTGCAAAACTCTATACCCAACATGTACACACTTCTGGTTTCATTTAAAGCCATCCATGTAATGAGGGTTATGATTCTTAGCTGACACAGCATGGATATTTTAGACCCTGAAGGTGGATGTATAGGATGAGCTGGGAAAATCAGCTGCTTGCAGGGGTGAGAATGCTGAAAGAAAGAAATAATTAGTTTTGGGGAAGATGATATCTAGAATTTAGTTGAAAAGGCTGATAAAAAAATAAAACAGAAACAGTTAGGTGTCTGAGATTTACTTCACTTATCAATGGACAGGCTCCCATGAGTATGGGGTCTTTGTTTGTCAGGCCATGTCTGAACCCCAAGGAAATGATCTGCCTCTGGACTAGAAAGTGCATTTTAAAAATTTATTTTTTCTTTCTGTAAGGAATCACTCCATTTGGGATCTTTTTAAGGTTGTGGCCAATGAGGACCAAGTACCCATATGGATGGGGCTGGGGGTGGAAATAGTTGGGGGACAAAAAATTGGTAGAAGAAGTTTTGTTTCTTCTTAGCCTTCAAGGAAAGTTTACTTCTAAAATGCCTTAAGTCTCTAACGGGAAGCACAGCTTTGGGCTGACTGACACAGAATGATTCTTCAACAGAATCAAGACGATATTGGCATCAACTTCTTTGATAGTTGATTGTTTTTCCTTTTTTCACGGGAGGGAAGAATTAAAAAAGAAATAAAGTAACTTTATAAAGACAAAATTCTAGACCTTCTTGAGCTCTAATTTTGGAGGAAGCATAGCAGTAGAAAGAATGGGGGGTTTGCAGTGCAAAGGACCCCCAATCTAATTACAGATGAGCCTCTCAACAATGGTAGGGACTCGGGCAGACTAATCAAAGGCTTTGAGTCTCAGTCTCTTCATCTGTAAAACTGGATTAATAATACCTACTTTATGAGATGATGGACAGAAAGTTTCAAGTACAGTAGGCACACAGCAGGCACTCAATAAAGAGGTAACTCTATTGATTCTCCAGAACTTTCCATCTTCCTCCCTCCATGCTCCCATCAGCTTCCTGAGGACACACCCTTCCTCTGCAGGCTGCTCTCCCACTCCCCTTACCCATGGTGCCCTGGCAGTCACAGCACTCCTGGGCATCGGTAGGATCGGAGGCGTTGCAGCAGCGCAGGCAGCGGCCGTCACCCATGTGCAGCACCAGGTTGGCAGGGCACACCGTGCAGTTCTTGGCGCCAGGTCCCTTGCATTCTATGCAGCTCTCATGGCATTTTTCACAGTTAAGTTTCTCCCCCTGTCAAGAACAACCAGGAGATTCTTTTTGAGTGTTGAGGAATTAAGAAGGCACTGGAGTTCCCAGATGGGGGTTCCATCTTGTCTCCATAAGGGAAGAAGGCTCGCGGGGGATAACAGGAAGATGGTTTATTTGAACTGTGCAGAGGGAAAGACAGAACCGACTGTCTGCACCTGGATGGAACCATTGCTGGGCTTTACCCTCTGAGTTCTACTGGTAATAATAGTGGGAGAACAGGTTTCTAGAATAGCTCAGGTTACAACCTGAGGCTCATGCGCTGTACCTGGTCAAGGACAAGTTCTGTCTGGCTCATGCTAAATTGACTTTCATAGTTTAAAAAATTTTCTTTACTTTTGAACTTTGGGAGAATGGTATGATAGAAAAAGAAGGAACAGAAATTGCCTTTGTTGAGCACCTTGGCATGTTTCAGGGGCTGAGAAGGTGCTTTCTCAGCTGTTACAGCCTTTATTATTTCATCCGATTCCGGATTAGGAGTCAGAACCCCTGGGTTCAGTCGCAGCCTGTTACTTACTACCCATGTGATCTTTAGCAAATTATTTAATCTCTCTGAATCTCAATTTCACCAAAGTGGAATGAGGGCTGTTTCAGAATTTAAAGAGAACTCATATGTGAATATGCTGGGTTGTGTTAATTTCACCATGGAGAAATTTACTTAATTTCTAAAGTTTGGAAATGCAATCAAGAAGTTAGTGGACGAGAAAATCTATGGTTTCTGGGCAAATAATGAAAATATATCTCTCTTAATACAGTGAAGGGGTGGAGGAAATGAAAGACCAACATGAACTGTGTAGTTCTGACATTATTTAGATGTTTCAGGTTGGACAGTAGAAGGGTAAGAGAGAAGATATTTCTTATTTCTGACATAATATTCCTTTATAGACCTGAATCATCTTCTTTTTTTGGGGGGGGGGGGGAGGAAGATTAGCCCTGAGCTAACATCTGCTGCTAATCCTCCTCTTTTTGCTGAGGAAGACTGGCCCTGAGCTAACATCCATGCCCATCTTCCTCTGCTTTATATGTGGGATGCCTGCCACAGCATGGCTTGATAAATGGTGCATAGGTCCATGCCCGGGATACAAACCAGCAAACCCCAGGCCTCTGAAGCAGAGTGTGTGAACTTAACCACCTAAACTTGAATCTTCTAAGGTCATAAGCAATGAATGTAAAGTTAATTCTGAGGCCTTCGTTTCTTAATTTCCCCATTATTTCTTTCCAATTGTCTCAGTTCCTTTGATCAAAATTAAGGCTACAGTAGGGTAGCATAATTATTCTATGATGCAATGGTAGAAGATTTTAAAATATTAAACCTGAACTGCAGTGAGTGTAGGAATTTTAGGACTTTTTGATTTTGCCCAGAATGACATGCAGAAACTAGCTCGCGTCCCTCTGTAGAAACGGCAGAAGGCACACCATGGCCAGCTCTCAGTACCTCTCCCACTCTGTATTCCCCCACCAGACAGTCCGAGGCACAGATTCCTCCCACCAGGTGGTAACTCCACACACAGGATAAGCAATCCAACGCTTCTCTTCCTGAAAGAAAAAAAATGATTCTAAGTTATGAGATTGACCTTGAATTTCAACCTCTGTCTTGATTCCAAAAACTCTTAGGAGCGAGGAATATGTCAAGTAAATTGAAGGAGAAGGGTGAATTGATTGAAGATATGAAAAAAAAAGTCTAGAAGTGGAGACCTAGAAATTATCTAATTAGTCCAATCCATGTAAACTCTGAGTTTGGAAACTGAAGATTTGAAATGACAAATCTTTGATTAACATAATAGGAGAGATTTTCAGAGAATGAGAAATCATGTAGAAAGTTTATAAGAGCTTTATTTGTCATTCTGCTTATTGTTTAACTAGTTTAGAGGACAAGGTTGCTACAAGCTGATTTGGAGGGTCCCAGAACTTGGTGCTTAAATCATGAGTAGGCAGTTCCTCATTGAGAAACAGCACCAGGCTTGGAACTTCAAATACTAGGGCTAAAAGGATTACGCAGTCATTTTGTCCAGTGGTTCTTAATTTTGGGGGTGGTGGTGATAGATTCCTTTGACGCTCTCTTGAAAACTATGAACTCTTTTCTCAGAAATTTGACATCCTATTTGTTTGTTTATTTTCTTAAGTAACTGAAAACTAAGGCCCAGACATGTGAAGTCACTCAATCAGGGTTACATAGGTAACGGTCAAGTCAAGATTCAAATTCGCCTTTGGTGACTCACAGTCAGCATCCTTTCTATCATTCTCTCTGCCTTAATACATGAACCACCAAGTAGGGGAGGCCTGAATCTATGGACTCTGTTTGCTGTGGAGGTGATGCCCCTCTCTCCTAATTCAGAGACCTCAAGAATGACTGATGCAATCATTTCCTTCTATGCAGCTATCAAGGGATAACTTCTGGAAAGAGTTTGAGGAAAGGAAACCTGAGCTCTAGTTCATTCTGTTAGGAAGGCCCTGGTGTTTTTGCTGAGAATTTCAAAACAGAAGAAGGGACATAGGCAGGGCCTGGAATGTGCCTGGTATTGTGAGTTGGAACTTGATATACGTCTTCCCATCAGAGGAATGTTGTAAAGAGTGGTTAGTTGAGCTTGAACTAGAACCAGGAGTCCCGTCCTTCACAATCACTATGGAGTTAAATTGACTTTTCATGTCGGATCAGTGAGCTCAATCATTTATAGTGTTTTTATGGAAAAATTAATTCTGAGCTCTGAACAACAGCTTAGAGAATAAACCTTTATTACCCAATTGCTTCTTAGATGGGGGGCTGCCCGTAGTGATACAAATTCAAAGCCATTTTATTTTTGTTTTACCTCTAGCTTCATGCAGAATTTCCTACAAGTTCTGGAACATAATTGTGGTCTCTGATGAAAGACTCAGTCTTCCTCTACTTCCTTCCTTCCCATCCTACATTTTTCTAAAATATAACTTAGGTGCCTTACTCCAATTTTAAAATATAAAAGTGTGGACTTGTGTTTTTGTTTATTTTTTTCTTTATGAAGAGAAATTCAGCGTAGGAAAAATTAAGAGGGAAAGAGGCAGTAAAAAGGTTAGGTCACAAAAGTTGTGCCTTAAGATTGGTTACATTTTCCAGAAGACCAGCAACAATTTGGCTGAGGCCTTGATGCTGAGCCATCCCCAAAGGCACTACTTATCACCTCTGGGTGACAAATCAGGACTCATTTTACATATCCTACATTGATTAATTGCAAAATCTGCATACTTAGGGTACCCAGAGTCAAACCTTAACAAAAGGCAGTTTGTTAATTTCCAGAATGTTTTCTAGTGTTTTCAAGCTGAACGCCCTACATTTATCATTGTTTCTAAGGATCTGCAAGAGCCTTGAGACTTGTAAAGACAGCTTTGGCATTTCCTCAAAATTCAGAAGAGCTTGCCATCTGCTCTCTCTTGGACTGACCCCCACGGGATGAATTCAACCAAGCAGAACGACCCCTGGGATCTGTCCACGGTGTCATTCCATGTGGACAGAGAGAGGCTGCTCACAGGAGGCTTCGGGTACCAGGCCTGGATTGTTATTTAAAACAATTTTGTGAGGAGGATAAACAAAAAGTTAAATGTGTGGAGGCAAGAAATGAGCTAATCTTGGAGGAACCAGTTGCAACAAAGATGCATATTAAGCCTTAGTATGTTATACTCCCCCCAACCCCCTCAGAGCTTTTCAGTGTATTTTTTTAACACTCTAATAATATTGGGCAGTCAAATGTGAATGAAATACAATCTATTTGGTAAATTTCTTATTGAGGTTGCTAAATTTTCCCTGAATCTTTCATATATCCTCATTTCTTAGTATGACAGCTAATATTTAAGAAAGAAGGAATTCACCCTTTTTTTCACCCAGTTTATAACCCAAGAGAAAACTTGTCCCCAAAGTTTGTCATCTATATATTGCAAAGCCAGAATACAGCACAAAGATTCACTACCCAGCAAAGGATGGGTGTGGTAGGTGAAGAAAGGATGGCAGAAGACATGAGTGTCAAGGACAGAAAGCTTCAACCAGGCCTGTTGGGGGTTCAAGTCAAACACAGGAGGGGGAGGCACACACGCTCAGGATGGCTTACAGCCTCACCCAAATATGCCCAGTTATCCCTGGAATACAATCTCAGGGAGACTGTGTTGATTTTTTTTTAAGCCTTTATTTTTTTAGAGCAGTTTTAGGTTTACCACAAAATTGAGAGGTAGGTGCAGAGATTTTCCATTTACTCTCTGTCCCCGCATATGCATAGCCTCCCCGTTATCAACATCGCTCACCAGAATGGCACATTTTTTTTTTTTACTGGCGATGAACATCACCCAAAGTCCACACTTTACCTTAGGGTTCACTCCATGTTGTACATTCTTTGGTTTGGGACAAATGTATAATGACATATATCCATCTTTATAGTATCATACAGAGTATTTTCACTGCCTTAAAAACCCTCTGTGCTCCGCCTATTCGTGTCTTTCCAGGCCCCACCCCTGGCAACACTGATCTTTTTATTGTCTCCATAGTTTTGCCTTTTCTAGAATGTCATATAGTTGGAATCACACAGTATGTAGCCTTTTCAGATTGGCTCCTTTCACTTAGTAATATGCATTTACGTTTCCTCCATGTCTTTTCATGGCTCGATAGCTCACAGCTCTTTAGCGCTGAATACTATTCCACTGTCTGGATGTGCTGATGAACTTTTGAGACTGGGAATGCTCAAAACCATGATCCTTAATTCACCCAGGAAATCTCAAACCCAATTAAAGAAATTTATAGTTTTTCAAACTGTGCTTACAACATCACTAATAATTTCTTCAATCTTCACAAAAGTCTTAAAAAGCTGCTGTTGTCCTGTTTTCATTGACTGATGTTAAGAGACACTAACTTACCTAATGATGGTCACCTGGTCTTGATTAGAAACCAAGCGCCCCTTCTCCCCCCACTAGCCCACTGCGCTGCAGTAAGGGGCTGGAGCTAGGGTTTTCATATTTAGCAAATTAAAATACAGTATTTTATCTCGCAATCTTAGTTAGAACAAAGGCTCCACACATCTAATAATGGTGGTATCAGAGATACCTTCAATTGTCTAAAAACCTAATAGAAAGTCAATATTTACCATGATATGGTCAATGACAACGGGAACTTTCCACTACTCTCCCTCCCCACCCCCAATTCAATGTATTCTCTCATTTGTTATCTTATTCTGACTAGAAGTTTTGAGCGGCAAGTATATGTGCCTCTGGAATGAAAAAAAGAGAACACAAATTAATGATTACTTAATAACAGTTTGGAAGGCTAATTCTTTCAAAGATGAGACAGCGGCAGAGAGAAGAGTGGGAATCGCTGTGCTAGCGTTTGCAAGGACTGCCGGGAAGAGGTGGGGAGGGGCAAAGGGGCGGAGTATCAGATGGAGCTCCAAGAGCCCTGCCTGCTCCAATCGGAGCAGCTCTGCCTTGATCAAGGTACATAATAGGATTCAGCCTAAGATTGCATCTGAAGAAAACGGCCAACTGCTGAAATGCCATCTGAAACCACGGTTCTACACTAGAAATGTGCTGTCCAATACAGTAGCCACTAGCCACATGTGCCTATTGCGCTCTTGAAATATGGCTGTCCAACTAGACTTGTGCTGTGAATGTAAAATAAACATCAGATTTCAAAGACAGTACAAAAAAAGAATCTATCTCAATAACTTTTATATTGATTCTATGTTCAAATGATAATATTTTGGATATATTAGTTCAATAAATATATTCTTTATAATATATATATATATTTCCAAAGTATTTTTATCTTTTTAAATGTGGCTACTAAAAATTTAAAATTATATGTATGGCTTGAATTATATTTCTATTGGATAGTGCTGATACACCATGCTGTGAGATATATAAAACAAATTCTAGGACTAGTATGAATAGCACTCATAGGTGAGTTTAGATTTTCCACTAGTCTAAGCACTTCCTGGGTAAGAGTCATTTATGTTTGTTACTGAGAGTCACTCAAATAATAAAAAATTGTTATTGCGCACTCTCTCCAAGTTTTTGTTTTCCGGGATATGTTTTTTTCTTGGTATTAAGACTTGGGCTTTGGTTGCAACCAGGTGAGGAAAGAGGGTGCCGTGACACTGACCGAACGTTGCAGAGAAACGCACAGACGGCAGCCCAGAGCAGGAAGCCACGGCTCTTGCTGAAGATCAAGACCAGCCCCGCCCCGCCGGCGCGTACCTGGCCCCGCCCAGCAGCTCCGTAATTAACATGACGGACTGCAGGTTCCTCTGAGCCAGCAGCAGCTTCCGCTCTTCCTTTTTTTTTTTCTTATAGCTTTTTCTGCTCCTCTGTTTGTAGCTTCTCCAGCTTTTTCTGATTCCTACGGAATTCACAGTCCTTCTGTTTCTGTTTCCTCTTGCAAAGCTTTTTCTCTCTCCAATTCTAGCTCTTTTGTTTCCTTTCCTCTGCTCTCTGCCTCTCCTCTTCCTCTTAATTGAGGCATCACTCAGCTGTTTGGTCAAATCAAAATAAACCTTGATGTTGGGGGCCATGGCCTTACAGTCCTCGCC